GACCTGAGCTGGAGTCAGATGCTTAACCAACTGAGCCACCCAGAATCCCCTAGATGATGTTTATTGTTTTAAACCACCATATTCCGGAGCTATTTGTTATTCAGTAGATTACACACCACTGAACTTTACTCCAGTGAACTATAGTTCATGTGTTTTTCTATTACACTCCCTTCCTCCTATCCCCAACTGGGCAGTGAGCTCATAGGGAACGTGCATTATGACTCCTTTGACTATGTACCCTCTGAAATTGCCAGCAAAGTGCCACGCAAAAAGCAGGTGGTCAATGCATTTTTCCCTGCAAGATAATAGAATAATGTCACTTTTAAGAATATGGGATCTGACATCAGGCATCTGTATGTTCAGAACCCAGCTGTCCCACTTGCTGACTGTGTGAAATTGAAAAAGCTACTTGCCTTCTCTAAGACTCTATTACCTTATCCATAAAGTGGAGAGAACAACAGACCCACTGCATAGTTTTGTTGTAAGCGTAGGAGTGGGGAAAACATGTAATCTTGCTTCCTGAGCATCTATAGATGGGGGAGGATCCCACCACATTCCCCAAGAAAGAGTGACACTGGAGAAATATTTGAGGGCCTCCCTCATCTCTCTCACTGGCTCCTTCACACAGCAGGAGTAACAGTGTTTAACAGATGAGGCTGATAGAACATGACAACGAATAGTGGGCATTTGATTGTCACTGTCCTGGATAGTCCAGACCCTCATCTCCCTTACCTTCGTGAAGGTGTAAGCAAACGTTAAGGGAGCACATTCTCTTTCTGTGACCCGATCCCATGCAGAAAATATAACTGGGTCAGGGCCAAGAATCTGGCTTAGAAAGGCAGACATGGAAGTCCAAGCCCATCACCCTATGTCTCCCTCTCCTTCTGTGCATCTTACTGTTGCCTGCCCAGGACCCACAGGCACCTTTCTGCTAAGCTCAACCTTCCCCACGGTGGGGTGACATGGTCTCAATTCAGGTAAAAATCACAGAATAGCCTGCCATAGTCTACAATAGCACTTAAAGGGTGAGAGCGCTAACATTGTATTTTTTTTTTAATTTTATTATGGAAATTTTCAAACACGTACAAAAATAATCTGAAGAACATAATGAGACCCCCATCTACCTCTCACCCAGCTTCAGACATTTATGGCCAATCTCATTTCAGTGTCACGTTTTCATTCTCATTTGGCTCCTTGCATCTATTCTCAGTCGTATAAAAACTTGAGGGAAGGGTTAGTGATTAGTTGGCGCTCTCAGGATTCTAATTAGGAGGATTAAATAAGAGAATGTATGTGAAGATCACCCAGAACATAATAAAATTTCAAAATACATTAACGTTAATAATGACAATGAGTCATCAGCAGAATTGAAAGCAGGTTTTGACCAAGATGGCACAGACCGAAATTATTTGTGGGATAATTGTCTGCTGGATTGTCAAGAGTTAATAACGTGGAGGGCAGTAGAATCTCACTGGATGAGAAGCCAGGAGGGCTTTGTTACTTTCAAGGTCACCCACAGACTTCTCTTTTAAATCACATGTCATTTCTTTTGTCACCTCAATCACTTACCTCTAGCCTGAGTCGTTGGGATACCATGCCTATGTCGATGCTGACAAACGCCACTCGATTGGACCCATCTGGTTCCGCCATGATGAAAGCACGGCTGTACAGCCTGGTGAGGATGCCCCGTGCATTCTGGCCAGTTTTGCTGTAGCCCATCTAGAAGGAAGAGAAAGTCAGGGCCCCTCTGCCTCACTGCCCTGCCACGAGAACCAAGCACAACCACGCAAAAAGAGACCACATAGGAAAGAAGAACACAATCCACAGGACACTGTGGCTCTGAGTGAGATGATAACATGTGTTTTCAAGAATAAAGCCAACATCATAAGAGAAGCTTTACTCTTCTGTTACAAAAATGCAAAGGCAAAGTAGTTATCTGTTTGGCAGAAGCCATCCATAGGCCCACGGGCAAGGAAGGGGTTGGCATGGCTTGGGAATTCCGTTACCACACCGGAGACCTTT